TTACACATGCATAGTTGTATGCTCTATATAGAGATTTTCCTTATCTTTGATATGTCACAATTTTGTAATTTATCATTGTTTATTAAACTCTGCAAGCTGTGTGGCTTTGTTAATATTCTGTCCTAGAATGCGGTTAGATGTGCCCTTTTTCTTTTTTTTTTTTGAACACCTGCCCCTTCAGTGGTCTCTGCACGGCCCTGAAAGGAAGCACCAGATTTTTCATCAATATGATGACATTTCGTCTTTATGCCACTTTTTTTTTGTGGCATAAAAAAATTGCCACAGATTTTTTTTAGTTAAAGCCCAGTGGACTCTTACTAAGTTCACTGGGCTACCCACACACATGAATATGCTGTTATTAAAGTAATCCTATAGTAACTCTGTTTAACTCTGCACTTACAGTACACAATCGGGATATTGCACATTTAAAAAAAAAAAGATTTTTGGTGTTGAGGTTTCATTTCACTGATAAAAACCACATTTTAAAAGACGTACGCATCTTTTTTATATATCAGACCATTTTTCAAACAAGTCAAAAATCATCTTTTAATGTTCATATTAGTTATCTAACAGTTCATTTGGTATTAATTATAAATAACTATAAAAAAACAATTTGCTTTACACAGATTTCAGTAAACAATACAAATCTAAAATTGATGATTTATAGGCCACAGTTTGGTTTATTGTCTCCTTAACATGTAAATGTGACTAAACATAAAGATAAAATGATTTAAATAAATGTGTAGGTTGTACAGTGGTGCAGTTGGCAGAATAGTTGCCATGTAACAAGAAGGTCCTGGGTTGGAGTTCCATCCAACCTGGATTTTGCATGTTCTCCCTGTAAATGCATGGGTTCTCCCCGGGCACTTCGGCTTATCCGTAAGTGTGAGTGTGCGCGTGTGTGGTTCTTTGTCCTGTTTGTCTCTGTGTTGCCCTGCGATGGACCGGTGATCTGTCCAGGGTATATCCCACTGGAGGTGGGCACAAGCCCCCCTTGCGACCTCTGTGCTACATAATGGATGAAAGAACAATAAATATTCAAAACGGCACACCGGAATTTAGTTTTTCTGTCTTAACAGCAAAAACTGTCTTAATAGCTTGTAAAAAGTCTCTTTCCAGGCTGAGTTTTTTTTTTTTTTTTTTTTTTCCCCCCGCCCCCGTCCTGGGGGGGTCCTTCTCTGTGGTCCCTTTAGGGTAAATGTCAGATCCAAAACCTAAAATCCCAAATATTGTCTAAAACTTGTAAAGGTAAGTGGAGACACTTTCTTTAGACGCTCCCTTAGAGACTGTTCCTGGAGAAAGAGTAGAGAAAGGACACACGTCGTTATATCTGATTCGTGTAATGTTTTCTTCTTTAAGTGAAGAAAACATTACAATAGTATAAAAAAAAAATAAAATAGGAAGAGAATTCGTTAGCCAATCTCACAGTAATAAAACGGTCAGTTCCTGGGGTGAACTTGTGCTGCATATAAGTTGAGATCTGGCTGGCCGGGGCGAGCACATGGAGGTGAAGGTGTCCTACTGAGATGAAGGGAGGCTGGTGGAACCCCAACCTGAAGAACAAACACACATCAGTGCCACGCTCAGTTTCTTTTTGCTGCAGTCTCACAATATGTGAGTGAAGCTGCAGATTGAACAGAGTTGCTACAAGCTTGTCTTCACTTCTAATGTCTTGTATTGCAGCTGACTCAGAATTTCAGGGTTCTTTTTCAATTTCCATTTTAAAGCACAAATAAAAACACTTCCTACTGAGTTTATACACTAAGTATTTGATTCATTCTTAATGATAACTGCCTCCAATAACTGGTGAACAGAAACAAAATATGCAAATTTCTATTTGAAACCTGCAAAAACAAGGGAAAAAAAGAAAAGTTAAAAAAGAAAGTTAGGAAGGATTACAGAGTAAAAGACAGCAGGCCTAATGGAAAGAAGAAAGGAAAAATTGCAATAAATAAATAAATAAATAAATAAATAAATAAATAAATAAATAAATAAAGAGAATCAAGAAGAAAGGGAGAAAAGAAGGATGGATGGAAACAGGTGAAAGATTGGAAGGATACAAAGAAAAAAGGAAGAAATGCAGAAAGAAAGAAAAGAATGATAATTTGATAGAAAGTCTGTAAAGTAATTTTATTCCCACCAATCCAGGCCTGAAATATATATGCACATATTTCAGATTCAAATTCAGTACTTTCCTGACATTTCCAATGTTTTTAAGATGTTTAAAGTAATTTTATGGTTAAATGAATTGCCTCACTATGGCTAATTTGTGGTTAAAATGACCAACTTTTGATCATTTTGGTTGTCTGTCAGTTTATTTTCTCCTATATTTGTATATTGCTCTACTGTCACAATCTGTGCAACCATTTCCACCTGTCTCCTTGTGGACATTTTCTGGTCACCCTGCATGTTGTGTTTGACATGTTTTGTTTAATTTCTGTTGTTTTGTTTTATAAACTACCCGTTTTACATTGCAAACATCTTACATTTCTATTTTATTCCCCTCATGTAAACACTCAAGAAAAAAAAAAAAAAAACAGAAGAAAGGCCAGAGGAAGTCTGCTGGCCACAAGTGAGAAATAAACACACTTGGCAGATTAGTCACCCACCTTACATTCTCCATATCGGTGATCCCCTGGTCCAGGAGCACTTCTTTCCCAAATTTGGCCATCCTTTCAACTGTTGAACACACGGTTTGTTATTGCTGGCTGTTATTGCTGGCTGCTATGAGTCAGCAATAACAAACATAATAGAATATATACAAATATATGCAAATATAATAGAACTAGTGAAAGGAGAGCATATCACCGACCGAGGTCAATGTGGCTTCTGTTCAGTGATTTGCAGCTGACAATGTGGTCTCTAGGAATAACCAGGTAGTGATGAGGAGCAACAGGATCAATATCTCTGAAGCAAACAAACTCTTCGTCCTACAGAAAAGTGAAACTATTTCATTTGAGGTCATGATGCCTTAAATGAGATGTTGACCTGGGTTCTTTTAACTTCCTGGATGATTCAGAGAAGTGCTGTCAATACGTCAGACAAGTTCTATTCACTTTTTTTTCTTTTTACTTTTAAATATCCCAAACACATAAATAATACCCACTTACTCACCCAAAGATAACCCACATTCAGACGTGATATCCATTTAAAAATTCAGAAATGTATAATTCAATTCAAATATACTTTATTGATTCCAAAGGG